AGTAGCCACTAGCCACATGTGGCTACTGAGCACTTGAAATGTGGTTAGTCTGAATTGACACGTATGTGAGTGTTTAATACACATCAGGTTTCAAAGACCACATGAAAAAAAGAACGTAAAATATCTCATTAGTAATTTTTTATATTGACTACATGTTTAAATAATAATACCTTGGATATACTGAATTAAATAAAATATAAAGTCAAGTTCACTCATTTCTTTTCACTTTTAATGTGCTACTAGAAAATTTAAAATTACGTATGTGGCTCACATTCTATTTCTATTGGACGGTGCTTGTGCAGAGAGGTTCAGAAAGCAGGCTAAGAAGTTTAAACCCTTGAGGCAATGAAACATCACTGAAGGTTTTCAAACTTAAGTGGCGCGTTAGATTTGGGACGGGCAGAAACATAAACAATGCACTGTTTCAGGAAGATGAGTGTGGGGGCAATACGTAGGGACAGGCCACTAGAGGCATTTGTCAATGTCAAAAGGTTGGCAAATGTCAAAGGGTAAGCAGGCTTAGCTGGAAAGTACAAGGTCCTCAGAAGCCTCATGCTGGGTAGAGAAAGGGGCCAGAAATCAGGAATGCGTTGGGACCAGGGAAGAGTAACACAGATGCAGGCACAGACCCAGCCTGGATAACCAAGGTGCAGTGTTCACCGGACTTGGCAAGCTCAGGCATGGTTTAGGGTAGACGTAATCTGGCTTGGTGGTAAGGGCTCTCAGGTTGGGTACAATTCAGGAGAACAGGATCTGTATCCTCTTCATCAATTTCAGATGTATCTCTATGGGGCAAGACCTCCAATAGTGGGATCAAGTCCTAGAGAAGGTTGGTAAGAGGTAAGCAAGCTACTAGAAACTACAGGCTAGGGAATAAAAGCAAAAGCCCCGGCTCACATCACAGCCAGCAAATATTTACAGAGAGTCTGCTGTGTGCCAGAGACTTACCTAGGCTCTGGAGATAGGGTGAACAAGGAGACAGACGTTAAACACATAAACTCAAAAATGTGCATCACGAATTGTGGTGAGAGCTGTGAAAAAAGATCAGGGGCTCTGAGAGACGTCAGTGAGGGTGGACGAGGGTAGTGGGACAAGGTTGTAAAGGAAAAGTTTCTCTGAGGAAGTGACAATTTAATCTGAACTCTGCAGTTAGGTAGGCTAAGACTAGGGGGAAGTGGGGATAGTCCAAGCTGGAAAAGGCTTGGGTGATTTGAGAAACTGAAGGAAAGACAGTATAGTTAGAACAACAGGAGGGGGGGGGGGCAGTGAAAGAAGTGAGAGAGAATACTGGAGAGACAAGCATAGGCCAGATCATGCCTAGCCTCATAGGATAAAAAATAAAATCCCTAACTGGCCTGAGTACAACTGGAAGCCACTGAAATGTTATGACCAGGGAAGCAGTGCGGTCCTTAAGGAGTTCCAAGTGTTGCCAGGTTGGCAGCAAAGGGGCAGGATCCCAGGTCTGAGATAAGAAAGTTTATTATACATCCCTTCAAGTGCTCCAGGCCAGGGTTGCAAGCTTAGGAGAATGATGGCACCCACTGAAAAATCTAGAAAAATCTGATGGAAAAGCTGATTTGGGAAGCACTGATAGAGTTAACTTTACACATACTGAGTATGAAGTAAACAATCACAGCAGGTGCATATGGATGTTGTTTGGAGTATGGAAGAAACATCAGGGATGGATATGCAAATTAGCGTATACAGGGGTGAAAGGTAGCTTAAGCCCCAAAAGTAAATGACATTTTCATGGAGTAGAGAAAGAAAAAAACAAAACAAAATTTTAAAAAAAGAAGCCTAAGACTGATCCTTAGTGTTTATTTACCTCTGGGACAAAAGACAGGAAAAGAATGCCCAAAAACATAAAATAAAAAAAAAGACAGTATGATGCTAGAACAAATTAAGGAAAGTCAGAGAATTAAGAAAGGGATAATTCAAATGGATACCATGAGGGAATTTTTGAGGGATGATGGAACTGTTTTATATCCTGATCATGGTGGTGGTTACACGTGCTGAAATTCACAGGACAGTACACAAGAAAAGTTAATTTTATTGTATGTTATTTTAAAAACACAACTAAAGGGTGGGATGGGGGGAGACTCAAAAGGATTGACTGCTGCAGGGAGACAGAACAGGATGAAGCCTGAACAGATGCTCTGGGAAATTTAACCATTAGGTTAATTGGTAACCTTGGGGAAAGCATCAATGGAGAGGCAAGGATGGGGGAGGCAGTGAAGGAAAGGAAGCAGTCAGCAGGGCCTCCTCTTTGAGAACTCTGGAAGGGAAAGAACAGAATGGCACAGTAGCTCAAAACAGGTAAGTAGAACTAAAAGATTTAGCAAATGGGCCCCATGAGTTATTCCATTTAAGTATTCTTCTAGAATGCATTTTTGCACATAAACTATTCATTTTCTTAACATTCGTGTTAAACTAAAACTGCATTATTCAACTACTAAAATGAACCTGAAGTCATTACATTTTAAACTCAGCTCCTTCATCAACAAACATGTACTACATACCAACTATGTGTCAAGCATGGTGGCGGATACAAAAATGAGTAACACCTGGTCCCCGGAAGCACACACAGGATTTACCACAACAGCAAGGTAATGGAATGGAGATCTGCAAGAAGGCCTATGAAAGCTTTGACGGAGGAACTAAATATGCATTTTTAATTTATTGTTATACATATCAAAGGGGGAGGAAACAAAAATAAAGTTTAGATTTACTTTTGTAAAAATGTTCTTAATTTCTAAAAATAAGAACGAGCTTAATTTGGCATTAAATTCCTAAGATAGGTATGGGCAACCTAATAATCGGCAGCATTCCACTTTTCTAGTCCTCTCTACTTTCAGTTTCCTTTCTGCCCTTCTTCCTTTGGATAATTCAGCAGGCAAAATGGGACAAGCACTTGCTTTGAAACCAGACAGGCTTGCCACTAAACTTAGGCCCTTAAACTTCCTAATTGTATACAATAATAGTTGTACAACTGTGTAACAATAATGATGCCTATCCCAAGGCTTGAAGTGAGAATAAGGGAAAAAAATGTAAAGAAGCTGGTATATGGTAGGCATGCAATAAACGTTAGCTAATGCAGTTAAGAATCCCAACTACTAGCCAAAAGGTTGACAGTTTGAACCCACCCAGAGGCAACTCGGAACATAGGCCTGGTGATCTGCTTCCAAAAGGTCATAGCCTTGAAAACCCTATGGAGGAGCAGTTCTATTCTGCACACATGGGGTCGTCATCCATGGGAATCGACTCCACGGCAACTAACAACAACAACATTATTACTGCCATTTGAACAAACAGTACTGTTGTGATTTTAAAACATTGTAAGTGCTTGCATTTGAATCAGAAAAAAAATTTTTTTTTTGAAAGGCATGCCGTTTATATGCTACCCTAGAAAAGCAGCTTGGGAATTTCTTCTCTTTAAGCCATACCAGAAACCGCTCTGCTCAAATAATAATGTTTGGGATAAGACTTTAAAATGGTCACGAAGTAAGAAAATAAAAAGACACCATAATTATCATCACCGAGTCCCAAGTCGGACAAGCCAGTCTGTTTTGTGTTCTAGATACTTGTGAATGTGTCTTAGAGTAGGGACACAGTATGTTCATATCCCTCCCACTACCTACCTACAGTGATACTGCACACTGCGTAGGTACAAGACCGTATGCTAAAAGTTCTGCTCAAGAGGCATTTACACAATACTTCTAAAAAGACAAATATAGCTCCAAAACCAAGATCCTTGATGCTTCCCCCAATTCGATAGGAAAACTATTATTGAACTTTCCCACAATGACAAAGGAAACAGCCTCTATCACTCGATTTACACAGGTGCTAAGGTGCAAACAAAAGTCTATTATACGTTTCTTTGTGCTTAGCTGTTACGGAGGGGGGTACTAATAAAGTTTTAATCATTGACTCTTGGTTTTATTCACCGACAATGGAGAAATACCTCTTGTCAACTTTTGTATAATTTTGCTTACACTGAAAAACAATGATCAACTTGGAATTCACCTTATCCTTCACCCAATCTCTCGCTCAGAGGCTAAAAGTAATAAAATGGCCAAAAGATACATGTGAAAGCAAGGAGTCTGAAAAATGTCACACTCCTAACCTGTGCCTACAGAATTAAGCATACGCTGGTCCTTAGGGAGCCTGACAAGAGGCTGCCCTTAACTGGGTAAATGTTTCTAGCTACCACAGTGTATTTGGTTGAATCGGATATTTAGCCACTAAACCAAAACCCGTTGCCATCGAGTCGATTCCGACTTATATGGGCTAATAAACTCGGTAGCTTGAAACTAAAGAGAACCCAACTGGACGAGATAAAAGACACTCCCAGAACCGCTGTTATTCCTTCTGCCCCTTGTTTCCCAGTCGAAAGTCTGAATCGCCTCCCGACTCGCAGGGCTGGGTGGGGTCAGGAGTGCCGGATCCCCCGCCTAGGGATAAGTTGGGGAAAAAGACATTCACTCCTCTATCACAGCCAGGTCGTCCGCGCAGGGACGCCGAACAGGACGGGGAGGCTCCGAGGCCTGACGCCTCCCTCGGCCACCCCGGGCCTCGGCTTCTGCCGCAAAGCCAGGACCGGGAGGGCCTCCTACCGGCCCGCCGGGCTCCCCTCCCAGCCCCGAAACCCCGGGCGACGGGAAGCGGACTCGATGCTGCCAGCCCACCCGGAAACCCTCCCCCTGCACCCACCTGCGGGCGCGTGACGCCAGGCCGCCCGGACGTCCCCGCGTCCCTCCCGCCCCCCGCCCCTCCACTCCCCTCCGGGAGCGCGAGACCTCGGCGCGCGCCCCTAGCTCACGTCCACCCGCCTGCCACCCCCACAGCCCCCGCGCGCGCCCTCCCCGAGCCCGTCCCCACCGCTCGCGCTCACTCGCGGGGACACGCACACGAAGCGCCTCAGCTTGACACCCCGGCCCGCGCTCGGACTGGGCGGCGCGCGAGGGAAAGGAGGCCGGCGGCGGCTGTCGGGCTTCACTCACCGCCGAGCCGCTGCCGGCTCCGAGTGCCCGGCGTTCCGCTGTGAGGCGCTGCGAGGCGGGCGGACCCCGCTTCTCGGCAGACTCTGGAGGCGACGTGGTAGGGAGACTGAGGGGTGCGGGGGTCACTCCCTCCCGCTTCACCTCCCAGAAACACGGGGACCCCAGAAACTAAAAACAAAATAAACAAACTTTCCCCTCCGCCTCCCTCCCCCAAAACCACAACACAAACACTCGGGGGCCCGCCCAGACCTCCACTCCATTGGTCAGAGGGAGGAGGCTTTTAGCTCTCACTGGCTGTTTTTTGTGCCCGTCAAGCTGCAGTTCCGCCCCTCCAATGCCTCGCCGCTGCAGTCGCCCCTCATTGGTTAACTGCTTCCGTTTGACGCGCTATGACTGGCTGAGCTGCCTGCGCCAATCACTCTGGGACACACCCCCTCAGCATCCCAGAGGCCGCTTCCTCGGTCGCAGGCCGAGCGAGGCGCAGGGGAAACTAGAGCATGATGGCGGCCGAGCTGGCTTGGCGCAGTCGTCATCTTTTTTCTTTTTTTAGATCATTAGTGCCTCTCCCTCGCGCTGTTTCTCTCCTCCTCGTCTCTTCATCCAGTACTGACTAATAACGGAATCTATAGGTGCGGGCTCCTTGATTTATCCCCTCCGAAGTGCTGAGTGTGGGTGGGTAGTGCGTCATTGGGCTAGCAAGATGTCACTCCCGAGTCAAATCTTAAAACGATTGGTGGAAGAGCAAGAAAGCCCGGCCAGCAACAAAGTCTATTGCCATTGGTTTTGGCTCCACGGAGTTCTTTCCTGCTTTCTTATTGGGCAAACAGGTGCGTTAACCAGCTCTGGAGTCGCTGTGCCGCGGTTAATTGTTTGCCAGGGCGTTTGGATCGACCCTGGTCATTTGGCCAGGAATTGGTGATAATGACGATTACCATTTATTGCGCGCCTTCTCTGTGCCAAGACAGTGCTGAGTTCTTTACAGAGATTATCTCGTTAAACCTGTGAGTTTGATATTACCTGAATTTTACAGATAGCAAATTGAGGCATAGAGAACTTCCCCAAGGTCACCAGATCGAAAGCAGTTGGGGGAGCAGGTTTTTGGTCCTAGGTCTGTTCGAGTCCAGAGTCCTGCACCTCTTTTCAGGATGCTCTAGTGCCTCTCCTTTGGCCCAGAATTGTACCTGTCACCTTAGAAACGTTTCATCCAGAACCCAACTTCCTCAGTTTCTGGAAGTGACACTGTTGGAGACCCAAGCTATGGACAGGTTGCTATTGACTCTACCGCATCCTCTTCCTCAGCCCCCACTCCTAAATTAAACAATCGTAGCATTTCCTGGCTAGAGCCCATCTACACCTGTGTCCATTTTCTCAGCTTTATAAATGGGCATTTCTACCATCCTTGTGTGCCAAGCTTTTCCCTCCCCCAACCCACCTCCAGCTCACTCTTTGGAGAAGAGTTCTAAGAGCCAGAAACAAGGAGGAATAGAGTTGAAAGAGAGAGAAAGAATAGATCACTTGAGAAATAATTTATTGCATGCAAACGGAACAGCCCTTCAGCTTCTGGAAAGCTTCCAGGGTAACCCCTGACGCCGCACAAGACGAAAGACGTGTGCTCGTGGCTCGTGGCCATTGGGTTTTTGTTCGGTGGCAGCTTTTAGCGACGTGAATCCCACATTCCAGGCACCAGGGCAAGATGCTTAGAACCCACTGCCAGAGAGCCAGCCCTAAGCCTCTGGGACAGAAATGATCTCCGGGAACTCAGAGCTGGATGCCAGCCCGCATTCGGTCTCATTTCCTCTCGGGCAATTAACGTTTTACCATCTCAAGTCCCCATCCCCTGTAGCTTCAGTGGGATCACTGCCCTTGGTTGGCTTCCAGATCCAAGCTGTTGTGTAACCTTGTTGGCACTGCTTTAATAATAAAACAACCACTGTAACACAGTAATAATGCTCAACACTTAGAGCCTTTCAGCAGAGCAAGACAAGGCATTTCGCAACATCAATTATGATTAAATGGCAGGTATTCCGAGGGCCACTGCCAGCAAAGGACAGAAAGATGATCAGACTTAAATTCTAATAAAGGTCCTAAAAACCTGGACCCTTCAACTCCACGTGACACCCCCCACTAGCATTCCAATATGGGGATTCTGAACCAGAAAACACACTGAGTGAGAAATGTCCAGGGTCTGAAGGCTTCCTTCCTTCCATGGTTGGCTACTTCTATTTTAATCCTGAATCTAGCACTTGGTTTTGATGTTAATCGTTGGACACATCTGCCCTTGAAAACAGATGGTGTCTATTTCATCTTTGTACCCATTATAGTGTAAGGAGTAATACTCATTCAGTAAAGAGTTATTGAGGAGCCTGGGTTGCTTAATAGGTTTGAGATCGACTGCTAACCTAAAAGTTGGTGTCTCAAACCCACCCAGCAGTTCTGCAGAAGAGAGACCTGGTGATCTGCTTCCATAACAATTACAGCCAAGAAAACCCTATGGAGCACAGTTCTGTCTATAACACATGGGGTCACCATGAGTTGGAATCTACTTGATGGCGACGGGTTTGGTTTTGGTTTTGGTTTTAAAAATATTTATTGAGCATGCCAGGCACTTTCCTAAGGCACAAGGATTACATGATGAATAAAACACCTTTTCTGTCTTCAGGGACTTCACAGATAGTGGGAGTTGAAGGTGACCACCAGGTAAACAGATAATTACAGTGTAGTACTGTGATAAAGTGCCCTGGAAGCCCATGGGAGGGCATAGGACTCAGTCTTGGACGGACGAGGATGGGTTTCCAGAAGTGATATCTACTTGGAGAACTGAAGGCTGAGTCGTGTTAGCTAGGCAGGAAGCTGGCAATGTATGGGTGGCCTGCAGCATTTGCTTCCAGGCAGCAGGACAGTAACAGCCAGGAATGGTCAAAGCCTGTTCTTCCTATAATCTTTGTCCCTGAGGCCCTTCAGCTATCTCTCCACTCGGAGAGTATTGTCCCTCCCCAGGAGAAAGCAGGAAACCTGAATCCCTATTGTGTTTGCGCCCTTGAAAACAGGAAAAATAATTTCCAAATAAGATTGCTGTCTTTCTGATCATAAAAGTAACACTGAGTGAAGATTTCAGACAATACAGAAAGTTATCAAGGAGAAAGGAAAAGCTCCCCATAGTCCCACTACTAAAGACAACCCAGACTCTTCTATGAACAGACACACACATGGATTTTTAATTCCAGCAAACACTGGGATGTGGTTCAGGGTCTTCTCTGGGATCTCAGAGGTCCCATTGCTCAGAACTACAGCTCTGGGTGGAACCTGCCCTCTCTTTCCACACTCATCGGAAGGAAGCCAATAAATCAAATATTTATTGGGGAGGATGAGGGTTTCCAATTCCTGCTGAAGTGACAAATTACCACCTGTTACAGGACTGTGGGGCTTGCTCAGCCTAGTCAGTGAATGTTGGGGGGGGGTCTTTTGTGCTTGCCAGACTCTGCCCTAGGCTTATGGTCATGTGTTGGTAGCTGTGGAGCCCGTCTGTTTCCCTGAAAAGGTGACTCAGAGAATGAGATGCTAGGGTGCTCTCCTCTGTTCTCTTTCTCTTTTCCTCTCTGCATGCTATTTGGAGAACAAAATATATATATATATATATATATATATATATATATGTTTGTTTGTTCCAACCCACCCAGCTTTAAGAATAAAAAACTAAAAAACTTGCCAAGCCCTGCACGCTCGTATGCAGGCCAAGTGCGCTATGTTCTTGGAGTGCTGTACTATTCTTAGAGGTCTATATGTGGTTTTCTATAGAGTTGGCTTTTTGCTGGAGGGGAAGGCAGATTTAATGAGTGATAGCTGTCTTGGATGGCTACCAAAAGTTCTCCGAGTCATCCCAAACAACAGACCTTCCCTTTTTTCCCTGGAGAGACTGTTCTGTGATCTCTGCCCTTGGCCTGGACAAAGTCCAATGCAATGAGGATTTCTGTGAACAATTCTGCAGTGACCCACAAGCTTAGAGTGGTATGGCCAGCTGGATCTGCTCCAGCTCTGATTTCTGTGGCACAGGAGAGCTCCTGCCACCCTTTGCACTGGCCTCTCATTGCTGCGAGGTGTTTGGAGGTGTCTGTAAAGCATCTCCAATTCTCAAGGCTTATGACAATTGGAAGATCCCTGTAAAGGGACCTAATCCAAAAGACAAGTAGACAGCTGACAGCTAATACTGCTGTCTTGGGGTCAGGCAGTGGGTGCAGCCATAGCCAAAGGACAAGAGCAGCGGGGGAGGAGAAATCTCTGGAAGGTGCTGATTACAAAGGACAAGTTCATAAGCATTTATTACATGTCTGGTAGCATTTCTTGTGCAACAAAGCCCTGTGACAGACGCTGCACCACTTCTAAATCACCCCTCGTTTTTATGACCACACTTCCTGAAAAGCGAGGTAGTTAAGAAGCAAACATTGGCCTCCTGCTGGGATGCACACTAGAAGGTTCCCAAGACAACCAGGAGATGTGGTTCTTAACAATAGCTACCATCTTGTGAATACCTGCTGTGGGCTTTACATGGATCATGGCAGTGAATCATTATGACAACTACGGTTATCCCCATTTTCCATACAGGAAAATCGAGGCACTAAAGGGCTAACTAGGAGTTCCTGGGTGGCACAAACGGTTAAGCACTTAACTACTAGCTGAAAGGTTGGTGGTTCAAACCCACCTAGAGGTGCCTTGAAGGACAGGCCTAGTGATCTGCTTCTGAAAGATTATAGCCTTGAAAACCCTATGGAGCAATGTATTCTGCACACATGGGGTCACCATTAGTTGGAACTGACTAGATGGCAACCAACAATAACAGCAACAACAAAGGGCTAACTTGGCCAAAGTCAGTAGTAACCCAGAAGTTGAACCGAAGCAATCTGATTCCAATGAGTGAGCTCTTATCCATGCCACTATACTGCCCCTGAGATGTCTACCTTGAGGACTCTACAAAGCAGCTGGGGAGACCATGATCCCCAAAAGAACAGTTACCATCATAGCCTTTATCATCTCAATCCCAGAATGAGATGGCCCTCTTCCTAGTGAAGTTACTGCCTCTGGTGGTCCTTTCTCTGCATCCCAATTTGGAGTTGGCTCTCCTCCCGCTCCCCCTCAAATAGCCTCTTTCCCTCTTCATTTTTTTTCTCTATTTCCTTACTTCAGCTCTTTAACTAATAACCTGTAGCCATCTCCACAGAAGTCTGGGTGACACAAGTGGTTTGCAGTTGGCCACAGCCTAGGAAGACCTTCAACAAGATGGACTGACACAGTGGCTGCAGCAGTGGGCTCAAACATACCTAGTACTGTGAGGAGGCACAGGACTAAGCAAAGTTTCGTTTTCTTGTCCATGGGGTCACTATGAGTTGGAACCAACTTGACAGCACCTAACAACAACAACACAGCCTAGGAAACCATATGATGCAGTTCTACTCTGTCATATAGGGTCGCTACAAGTCAGAATCGACTCTACAGCACAGAACAACAGCTAACCTAAAGGCTGGCAGTTCAAACCCTCTGAGGAAGAAAAGGCCTAGGAAACTGCTTCTGTAAAGATTACAGTCAAGAAAACCCTATGGGACAGTTCTGCTCTACAACACATGGGGTCGCTATGAATCAAGGGCTGACTCAAGGGCACCTAAGAACAATAAGCTATTTCCACTGCCTTGCCATCCTTGCTTCCTCATTCTTCAAACCTGGCTTGCAGCCCCAACTCTCTACTGAAACTCATTTCTCCAAGTTCATCCATGACCTCCTTGTGACCAAGATCCAAGAGC